TATCATTCAAGATCTGAAATGAAAGAAAAAAAAGGAAGGAAGAGGAGGGAAAGAAGGGAGGAAGGAAGAAAAAATAGCCAACTATTTAGTCACTAAGTACACACACCAAGTATGTGTATGTGTTCCATAAGGATAAGATCAATGTCCAACGTGTTTCTTTCCCTATTCTCGGTGCTTAGCCCAGTGCATTACACATAATAGATGCTCCGTAAATACTTAATGAGCGAATGAAGACGTAGGGGTAGCAAATAGCAATGTTGGTGACAAAAAGATTTGACTCACAATGGTGTGGAGAATCTAAGGGAGAAGGTAGTAGCCCTTAGAGTATCATATATATGAAACCAGCCGGACTCAGCTAGACCCTCCTATTAGGGTAAGAGCAGTGCTTGGGCAACTGACCCACTGCAAGACTTACAGTAGAACACAGAATACATAGTGTTCAAGAGCCAGTGACTATCTCTGGACCTGGTCCAGACAAAGTTAGTAATAAAAGACTAAAATGGAGTAATATAACCATTCAACATGTGGTAAGGCTATAGGGCTACTTGGAAATCCAGGCGGACAGTCAGGCCATGGGTAATCTAACAACTGTTAGCAAAGTGTGTATATATAGCCATGGGAGTGTATATGCAGTCACAGAAGGTTTTCTACACAAATGTACAGGTTTCTTTTTCTAAATATTGCAGTGCTGTTTAGAGCTTAGTATTTGACATATTCACTCTTTTTGAGACCATAGATATATATTTTTAACAGATGCATCAAAAGAAAAATATAAAATCTTTTTTAAATTGATAAAACATTTACTTTGAAATAATTTTAGACAAAGTCACAAAAATAGAACAGAGTTCGTATATAACTTTTGCCCAGCTTCCCCTAATGGTAACATCTTACGTAACCACAGTACAATGATCCAAACCAGGAAAGTAACATCAGTACAACAATGTTAACTAAACTAAAAGTCTTATTCAAATTTCCTCATTTTTTTCATCAGTATCCTTTCTCTGTTCCAATATCTATTCAGGGATCTCACATTCTGTTTATTTCTCATGTCTCCTTAACTTCCTCCAATCTGAAGTCAAAACCTTTTAAAAAAGAGGAAATTTTTACTTTTCATCAGAATAATATGTTAAAAGTTAAATTTTCAACTAGCAGTATTGGTGTTTCTCAGGTCCTCCCCCATTTTCAGAGCACAGCCAAGAAAAGGAAGTAAGAGTCTGTATTTAATGGGTGGGGGGGAAGACTTACAGCTCTCTTTCCTACAACCTGGGCTTCTCTAATAATTGCTTTGTGTTGTTTGGCTTTAGTTTCTGCAGGATTTCGGGGGGAACATTCAAAATCCCTGGACCACTCTTTAGTTAACAAGTTGCAACAATTGTGAACAAGAGTAGAAGAGAGTAGAGGAGTAGAGTGGAGAAGAAATCAGGTGGGCTTCATTCAGCAGGACATTCTGCTGATGAGAACTAGAAATATACTAAGGAATTGAGGTTACAACCACCATCCAAAAGACAGAGTCTAGGACAGAGCTCGTGAACTCCAGTGCCAGATAAGTATTGTGAATAAATAGGGTGGGTACAAAATCCAGGACTTGTGTCACGATAAAAATCACAGTGTGTGAAGAAAATGGCAGGTATCACTCTGGCTCAGTCAGTAATGATATGGGGGTGTGGTGAACTAGAGGGTACATATCACGTCTAAAGCAGGCAGTTGGTATTCAGCTCCACCTGAAATTTACAATCAGAATTTGAGCCCAGGGTTGCAAGATCCTCAGATGGTTTTTGTTTTTTTTTTTCTGGAGAACTTTCTTTTTTACCCAAGAGAATTTTATGTGAAAATTCTTATTTTTATCTATTTTTTAAAATTTTAGGAGATTTTATACTCACAAAACAGCTATAACATTAAATTTTCTCCATAAAATACGTATGAGTCTCAGTTAAATACATCTAGATGCTGGATGGCCTGCTAAGTGTGCTCAACACCTAAGTGACCAATTTCTACTCGCTGCTCTTGCAATGGGACAAGTCAAATGCCGTAGCAAAAGTACAAATTATGTCATGTCATAGACTTTTAAATTACTATTAGTAAGTTCAAACAAATCAGAAAAAACCAAGAGTCTATTACACTAAAAATTTCTAGGAAGGTGATCCGTAGACAGCAGTGCTGATAGAAAATTTTTATATTTAAATGTTAGTAACTAACATTGGCCTGTGAATTTCTCTTGAAAAATCCCTCAACTCTTGAATTATCTAAGAATTCCAAGGCCTTTCTCAGTCAATCAGAGTTGGTCTGCTTCCAAACACTGTGAAAAGAAAAAAAGAGGACAGATCTGTTTTCTCTTGCTTTTACTTCTCCTGGCCATGGAGTGGTCATTGTTAAAGATGGGTTGGAACAGATGTTGGTCCACTGCTGTTGGATGGTCCTTGCAGATCCAGATCTTATTCAGGCCACAGTTGTCACATTGAGCTCCAGCATTACAGCTCTTTCACATTCCCACAGTCAGCCATTGCTCCCCGGTGCCCAGAAACATGCTAGACTGACTATGCCCAGTGGAGCTTCCAGTATCATCCAGAAGCTGTTTTCCTTGACAGTTTTCCTTGAAAAAAATCTTTGGACATTTTGTGGATCTCTAGTCTTTGGCCCAGAATCCTGCTTTTCTCAGGGAAGTTTTATTTTACTTGATTATTTCGTGTGTCCTACACCTGGGCCTTATTCTGTGCCACTCTGGTCTACTCTATACCAAAAAGACTCGTCAACTCTGAACTTTGAGAAGTAGGAACAGTGGAGGTTGGAACTTCCTTTTTTTTTTCCTTTCCCAGGAGGTTGAAGCCTCTTAACACAAATTCATCTACCTCTCCCTAGTAATCAGCTCTACTGAGGTGGCTTTTGCTAAACCACTAAGTAAACAAACAAATAAATAGTCTAGTTACAACTTCCTGGAGGACAAAGGATACAGGTAACGTTACATTTACATAACTCAATGAGGCCATTCAAGTGACTCAACCCAAAACAAAGAAGGTCTGGTCCAAAGCAGTCTCATCTTTAGGCATAGGAAAGCCTTCCCTAAATTTAAGAAATTTCCCTCAACTAGCATTTGATATAAATCTTTACCTTAATACGTAACCTGTTATCCAGATTTAAAGAGTTTGATAAACTTGAAGCCATTCCTTATAGGGAGTCAATATAGGAAGTAAAAGCAAAGAAATACAAGATTATTACTGATATGTAATTATTTGACATAAAAATCTTACTTCCCCATTATGAAATTGCAATTGGAATTGGAACTGAAAATGAGCACATTTATCACAAATCTTTAGTAGGTAGAAAGTGCAATTCCTATACCTGTTATAACATATATATTCAAACATCTGCAAGAAAACTTCAGCAAGCACTTACGTATTCTGTGCCTAGATAACAACTTTGTTGCTGGTTAGATCTTTCTTTTAACCTTCTGCACAAAGTGAAGAGCCAAAAAATGCTTCAGTCCTCAGTGAATCTGTAACAATTTTCCCTCTGTGGGTTGTTAGCAATAATTAGCCTGGATGCCATTTATGGCAAGGGTACAGACATTTCGATTTGTGAGAGTATGTTTCAAAGGCTCTTCAGTGCTGAATGTCTTCCTTGATTGGGAATGTGCAACTGAATAAAGGAAACATCATTTAAAAGGGAGTTGGGGGGCGACTTCCCTGGTGGCGCAGTGGCTAAGAATCCGCCTGCCAATGCAGGGGACACGGGTTCGATGCCCTGGTCGGGGAAGATCCCACATGCTGCGGAGCAACTAAGCCCCCCGTGCCACAAGTAGTGGCGCACGGGCACCCAGAGCCCGTGCTCCGCAACAAGAGAAGCCACTCCAATAAGAAACCTGCGCACTACAACGAAGAGTAGCTCCTGCTCTCTGCAACTAGAGAAAGCCCACATGCAGCAACAAAGACCCAACACAGCCAAAAATAAATTTAAAAAATAAATAAATTTATATAAAAAAGAAATAATTAAAAAAAATAAAATAAAATGGAGTTGGGAATCCAGAAGGGGAAACTCTCACGCACTACCACTCATTGCCATCTGCAGACCCCAAGAAGGAAGAGACATACCTTGCATCTCCAACAGGAAAAAGATTACTACTTTACTACCCCAGCAGAGGAAGGAAGATTTTCTGCTTGCCCAGCAACAAGTGCAACCAGTGGGAACATTGCAACTCAGCCACTGGGAAACCATCATTAGCCTGAACTCTCACTTTCCTCTGATGGACTTTCATTCAAAACACCTCCTCCCAACCTTTCCCTCTCCTCTATAAAGTAACGTTACTCTCCTTTGTTTGCTGGACTTGGCTATGGTTTTTGCTACAGAGAATTGCAATTCTCCTCTATCCCTGAATAAACTTATTTTGCTTGTAAAATAACTTGCTGTTTTTAACAGAAATAATACTTTATTTTGCTTTTCTTCTCTTCTACTTTTTCCCAAGAAACCTAAGAATTGTTTCAAACTTGTACTATGTGTGAACTTTCTAAATAGATTGTAGTGGGTTTGTGAGCTTTAGGAGAGACAACGCTTGGGGAAAAGATCCCAGGCTGGTGAGACTTAGGGACTTGGATTTCATCAGCTGAGCACCGAGAGACTTCGTTTGCTCACTGGTAAATGGAGAAAATAATATTGGCTCTGTCTGCCTTACAAGGCCGTGTGAGAAATAAATGAGATAAAAAATAATTATTTGAAAATTCCCAAAGCACAAATACAAAATATTAGTCCAGGGTAGAAAACTTTGTAAGTGTCAAGGTGAAAAAGTTAGTGCTAATCTAATTTAAAAGTCAGTATGTGACAACTTTTTATTACTGTGCTTATAATTTTATGAATAACAGGAAAAAACCATATATGATATGGTTAAATGGTTCACACGGATGACCTAGCAATTTCATACATACTCCAAGAAGACCATAAATACTACTCTTTACATGGTAAACATGGGTCAAAATGTTAATACGAAACAAATTTTTTATTTCTTTCCTCAGAATAAGAACTTCTTGGAAAAATAATTGCAGCATCAAAGAATGCTCTGGATGAAACAGGTCCTGGACACAAATTCCAGTTTGCAGCCTACATTCCCTCAGTCTTACGTCTCATTTTGGGTATGCAATTCTGTAGTTGTTGTCTTTTTTCTTTGAGGTTACAAACTTGCATGTGTATGCAGGTGTTTTGAGAACTTGTTTTTGAAAAGTTGATTGGTGGAATGGATTTGAAAAGACCACGAAGGATCAGTGATCCGTTAAGTAAAAACAAATTTAACCACTTACATGATGTGTCCCAACCTTGTTAATGAAAAAGAAATAAATGTTTGAAGCAAATTAACTCGGAGACTCTCCAAGATTTCTTAATGCAGCTAAACTCCTTTAAGAAATGCTTGGAATTTTTGTTTTAATTGATATTTCACATTAACAAGCTGGCATCCCTTAATGGCCTGACATAAGAGCCATTTAACTGAGCTCAGTCACCCGTGAAAATTAATTTTCAAGATTTAATAAAGGATATTATGAAGGGTGGGCCAAGATGATTCCCATGATGAAAATCAGTGTAATGATACTAAGGGCAAACTGTGCAAGCCCACCATGGGTTCAGGTATTTCAGTGGGCTTCCCAGTCAGTGTTACCCCTTCCTAAAAGAGGTTATTGCCAAAGTTTTACTGACGATGAATAATTAATTCTAGTGGCTTTTGGAACATGTAGTTTGTTGATTGAAATATTGGATAAAAATATAGAGTCTACAAAATGGCTCATTTTTAAATGGATTCAGACCTTTTACAGGTCAAACCAACTAAGCCTCTCCTTCAAACATAAAGATGTGCATAACTCTAACGTGAGATTTAATTGTGTCCCCAAAGCAATGTTATATAAAAGGTCATATCCCACACATAGCATGGCCTTATGTATCCACAGAGAGACACACAAACACAAGCACTTTCATCTGCCATGTGATGCAGCTCCTAGAATGTTATGTCCATACTGCCTTTGTAAGACTTCTAAAAAGGCATAATTGAGGAAGCACCCCAAGTGAAAAGTATACACCCAGAGGCAAATATATTTGAAAATATTTTTCTTCTTTTAATAGGTTAATTTAGACATTTGTTGATATGACAGGTACTTTTGGTGTCATACTTCTATAATATTACATTATGCTTTAAAATATTTTTGTGGGTTTAAAGTTTTTTGGTTTGTTTTTATTATTTTGATTGAGTGTTTTGAAGGTTTGCATTTGTGTTCTATTTATTACATTTATAACTATTACTTTACATAATACTCTTAATCCTCTACTATTTTAAATAGTATCTGTTAATTTCCTTCAATGAGTAATAAAAAAAATTAGGTATTTCTTCTTCCTTCCCATTCTTTTACCCATTCTCTTTCCCATTTATTGTGATTGGTTATAATATCTTTCTTAGTGTTTAATTTTACTGTTACATGTTCTTATGACTCTATTATATTATTTTCTACCTTTAAGTGATATATCCTAAATCCCAGCTACATAAGATGAGGTTATCAGTGTGCGTTATATTTTCCCCAGATTCTCACCTGCTTCACTGTATAATTTTTGTGAGAGATCTCACTTCTATATTGTCAAAGTTTATGCTATTTTCGCTTGATTCTGTAATCATAACCCTATATCTATGTTACTCTTGGTCCTATGGTTATATAGGATTAATATTCATCATCACCTTTTCCTCATTCATCTCGTACTTGGATGAAGTTCTTAATCTAATTGTTTTTTTCTTTTTCAAAATGGTTTACTCTTATACTTAGATGATAAAATAGCCAGGTACAATTTTTTTATTAGGTGACAGTGTCTTTTTTCGGTAATTTGTAGGCAATGCTCAGTGAATGTTTCATGTTCAGTGTTGACTTGAAGGCCTGTCTGATTTTGTTTTTCTCCTTTACTGGCTTTTGTGGGATAGTCCCAATTTATGCCTATTGTCCAGTCATACTTTTTTTTTTTTTTTTACTGTGCGCAGGCCTCTCACTGTTGTGGCCTCTCCCATTGCGGAGCACAGGCTCCGGATGCGCAGGCTCAGCGGCCATGGCTCACGGGCCTAGCCGCTCCGTGGCATGTGGGATCTTCCCGGACCGGGGCACGAACCCGTGTCCCCTGCATCGGCAGGCGGACTCTCAACCACTGCGCCACCAGGGAAGCCCTATTTTTAAGGTTTTTGATAAGCATCACCAAGTTGCTTTTTAGGAAGATTACACCAGAAAATCTTCCACCATGAACATATGAATGTGCTCATTTCAGCTCATGTTTGCTAACAGTGAATACTATTATTTTGAGATACTTGTTTATTGCATTCCTGAAAAGTAGTATCTCATTGTATCAGAGGCAGCCAGTTGCCACCAAAATCCCTTCTTCCATTCTGCAGCATGAATCTGTAGTTCCCCTCTTTTCCATGTGTCTGCTCAGCTACAGGCCTCATCCCCCAGCCCCCCTTGCAGCTAGGTTTCACTTTGTGGCTAGATTATCAGCAGTGTAAACAGAAGGACATGTGCCACTTATGGATCTTGACCTTAAAACACTGACTGACTACTTCCCTGAGGTTTTTTTTCCACTGTCTTTCCCCTAGAACATGGGTGAGCCTATGACAATGTGTTTGGGAATTGCAGAACTACAAGATGGGAGAAAACCGTGTTCCTGAATGATAGTGTGAAACAAAACCACTCAGCTGACTTGGACTTTGTCACCCATGACTGTTATAAGAGAGAGAACTTAATTACTATGTTCTTTAAGCCACTGTATTTTGGGCCTGTTTATTACATCAGCCTAGCTTTTACCCTGATTTATGTACTCATTTTATTTTATTTTGAATTATTTGCTGACTTTATATTACAAATTTCTTTCTGGGGCTAAATGGGTTTGAAATAACACTTTGTACATTAAAGTTAATAGCCCTTTGTTGTTTATAATTTCATTTTCCTTCAAATTCTTCTTAGGCAGTTATACTTCTCAATTATCTTGGTATCATGTCCAATGCATTTCTTCATTTTACTTAGGGAAATATTCTATGCTAATATACATAATGCTATTAATGAGAGTCCTGAAACTAATATTCTCTTTCTGCTTCTGCCATTAACTCATCTGTAAAATTAATTTCCAAGACCTCTTCTAGCTGTATAATTCTGTGATTCAGAATAGCTTTCATACTTGAGAACTAATAAGGACACAAACATCTAAAAGCTACAACTTTAAACCACAAGAACGAGATAAGTATTATAGATCATCTAACTATTTTTTGCCATTTCCTTCTTTCTGCTGTATTTCTTAAAGAATTGGAGATGGGACAATAACATAAGGGAGATTTCAATAAATTTTTTGAAGCTGGACATTAGATAGAGGAATGAGAACTGAATTAGTTGGGTTACCATCTCAGTGATTATAGTGGGACCTACTGATGTAATTAATCACCATGCAGAACCTATAAGAGATTCATCAATTGAAGGTGTCAAGTACTGTGAAGGATAAATATAGACCCTTTCTCATATCTCAGGAGAGGAGAGTTTTAATCAGGACCAGGGGGTACCTGGCATTTAAGAGTACAGGACTGAGAGGTAGGGATGAAAACATGGTATGTAGTGAAAATCTTCATACTGAACTGTGGAATCCTCAGTCACTTCCTTTATTCCTAGCATTTCTGAAGTAATGTGTATAGAAGACTCTGAATGACCCTAGAGAAAATATCTTAAAGTGCTGAAATTTGAATTTCTTCCCATGAAAAGTGCCTAATATAATGAAAATCCATATAATTGCATATCATCATAAACTTTCAGAATAGGAATAAAGAAAAAAAAATCCTAAAGTCTTCCTGAAGGTAAAACAGGTCATGAATAAAAGATCAGAAATAAGAATGACATTAGATACCTCAAGAACAAAACTGAAGTATGAAGAAAATAGAGCCATACCCTTACAATTGAAAGAAAAAATAATTCTCACTCAATTAAGTGTGAGGATAAAGATATTTTCAAATTCTCAGTGTTTCAAAAAGTGACCTCCCATTCACCTTGTTTCTCCTAGGAATTGACTGGAGGATATGTTCAGCTAAAATGAGCGAGTAGATCAAGAAAAAGGAAGAGAAAAAAAAAATTAGAAAAAAAAAAAGGGGCTTCCCTGGTGGTGCAGTTGTTGAGAGTCCGCCTGCCGATGCAGGGGACACGGGTTCGTGCCCCGGTCCGGGAAGATCCCACATGCCGCGGAGCGGCTGGGCCCGTGAGCCATGGCCGCTGAGCCTGCGCGTCCGGAGCCTGTGCTCCACAACGGGAGAGGCCACAACAGTGAGAGGCCCGCGTACCGCAAAAAAAAAAAAAGGAAAAAGGAAGAGGTGGAGCCCTGAAAAGAGGGGAAGACATTGTGAAGGGAATTATTAGGATGATGGCTGTGTATAGATGGAGAGAGAAGACAGTCTACAGTGGAGCAGGAGAATGGAGGAGCTGAACTGACATCTCCTGGATAGACAATTTGAAGTAGTAGAAAACTTGGAAAAAATTTTGCTAGGTCTGTTTGAATCTTTGGGGAAAATTAGAGATAAGCACATAACAGGCCAATCAAAAAGAAGTTAGGTATTAACTAGGGAAAATAATCTTATGAAACACCAACATAATTGTAGTATACTTGGCAGTATACAGTCTTTACATAATCACAATGCTGTAAACTCTGACTACTGATCTCACCAAACAATTACAAGTATATTAGAAAGGAGGGTGGAGGTGAGATACGTGTTTATGAGATTACTAAATCTTCACCTGTCTCCGGTGCTATTTTATCTTTAAACTATGAATGTGAATTTCTATAGTAAAATAAAAAAATATTATAGACAAGAATATATCCATACTTTGCATTAGATTTCCAGAAATTTTCTTGGAATAATCTTTTAAAACTGCTGTCTGTGCTTTTAGAACTGGTCATTGCAATGCTCCAACTGTAAAAGCAAGAGCGATGCAGTTGTATTTTTAAGATATTGTAGACACACTTTTAAAAGTGTTCTTCTTAGGTCAAGCTTCTCTCTTGTTTTTTTAAAAACTTTATCAGTGTTTCAATATTCTTTAGCCACTGGTTTTCCGTGAAGGTTGAAACCCTAAAGTTCCACAGAATCCTTGATAACAGGTCTCCTTATCCTACATGAAATGAAAAAATACATGATTTGATGATTAAGGGTTCATTCTAAACAGAATCAAAGGGAATTATATATCACATTTTTATATTTGGGCACAAATTTTATATCTTTTAACAATCATATTAAGTTACTTGCTCTTGCTTCTAACCCTTTGTTCTCCAGAGGTCTTGCCATGCTGTCTGAATAGAATATCCTTTCCACTATTTGTCTCTTGATCCATATTTGTGCCTTTATCAAACATCAATTTAAAATAAATTTTCTTCATCAAGACCACTTAAATGGTTCTACTCTACACTGATCATTCCATTATTCCATTTCTCTTAGCGTTGATTTTTTGTTACATTAATTTGTACCTGTTTCCATGTCATCTTTGCATGTGTTGTTATATCTTTTCATCTGCATTTTGTTCCCCTATTATATTGCAAATTCTCTGAGAATGAGGACAATGTCCTTAACTTCATTTGCATATCTCCATGACATCCAGTAGAGAATGCCATTTGAAGGCAGCACTCAATTAAATCACATTTCCACTGACAGAATCATGTCTAGCTTTGGAAAATATGGTTTATGAGGCACTAAGTATATATACTTTTGTTATGTATACTTTTTTCTTAAGAATTCTTTAGGAAACATACATATACAGTATTATGTAGAAGATACATGCTGAGTGGCTTCAAAAAAACTTACCACCAAATGTACTGACTTATAATTTTAAAAAATTCAGAGGGCAGATAACAAAATATCATATATATATGCAGGTTGGACAAATAATATTAATTCATTCCAATAATATCCAAAATAAACAAACAACAAAATTTTATCATATGTTCTTTCTCTCCATAGTTTAAAAAGTAGTCAGCCTGGGGCTTCCCTGGTGGCGCAGTGGTTGAGAGTCCGCCTGCCGATGCAGGGGACACAGGTTCGTGCCCCGGTCTGGGAGGATCCCACATGCCGTGGAGCGGCTGGGCCCGTGAGCCATGGCCGCTGAGCCTGCGCATCCGGAGCCTGTGCTCCGCAAAGGGAGAGGCCACAACAGTGAGAGGCCCGTGTACAACAACAACAACAACAAAAAGTAGTCAGCCTGAATTTATATATTTACATTAAAAATGTATGTTGAGAGTGGTAAAATTTCTAACAGACTTTGGCTTTCTATAGTATCCAGAATGTATATAACCTCTTTAGCTTGGTTTTTTACACACTTGCCTCAAACTCCTTCTTCAATCTCATCAAAATTGTATCAAACGCGCAGTTCCAGAATTCTGCTTTTGGCTCCGTAAACACAGAATCTTAAAATGTTAAAGCTGGAAGAGTTCACTAAGTTCCAAAAATTCCCAAATATTCCAGAGCAATAGAATCAGGAAAGAATTCATAAAACTGAAGATCCCAGGCCCTATTCCAGCAGTTGTCACTTATGAGGTAGGGCCTAGAAATCTATTATTTTAACAGGCACCCTACTTATTCCTAATGTATTGACAAATCAATGATTTAGTCTAGTTTCTTCATTATAGATATAAATAAATGAAGACATTATACATATATAAGTATGTGTGTATGCATATGGATGTATTGTAAATGTCATGCTGCTCCTCAGATGTAAGTAAATTCTAATTTTTCTTTTATTTTTTATTGAAGTATAGTTGAATTACAATGTCGTGTTAATTACTTCTGTACAGCAAAGTGACTCAGTTATACACATATATACATTCTTTTTCATATTCTTTTCCATTATGTTTTATCACAGGATATTGACTATATTTCGCTGTGCTATATATAGTAGGACCTTGTTGTTTACCCATTCTATATATACCAGTTTACATCTGCTAATCGCAAACTCCTAATCCCGCCCTCTCCCACCCTCCTACCCCTAGGCAACCAGCAGTCTATTCTCTATGTCCCTGGTGAATTCTAATGCTTAATCCCTCCCTGCTTCCATCCCCTGTCCCATGGCACACTTCCACCTATATCCCTTGGGCAGTTCCATCTTCAAGGCTTTGCCCACACTCTTTCCCATCTGCTGTGGCCTCTCTTTTCCTTTCGGCCAAATCAGTCTTTATGGTACATATCTATCAAGATGCCTTCAGCATCTCACATTCATACAGTTATCTTTCTTCACTAAATTCTTGTTGAACCATTTATCTGACACTGAATCAGATACTGCTGGCATGAAGATTATTTATGGATAACAGTGAATTCTACTCTGGCTTGTGTTCCCATCAAGCCTATTAGAAATTCTATCTTGGGAAAAATTTTACCACCGTGGGGCAGGGGGGGAACCTTATTAATGGCAACAAATCCATACGCATTTTGGGAAAGTGTTTTAACTATCAGCAAACCACATCAATGATCTGACATAGTCTGAAAGTATCATGATATCTCAGTTTCTCAGAGAAGAGATTCTCAAATTTTAATGCACAGATGAATCACTTGCAGTTGGAGTCTCTTAGTATGGTCCAGTGGTATTTTAATCTACACATATTATTCTATTACTTAGCTTTTGATTTGATTTTCTCTCTCATTCAATTGGAAATCTCACAAAGTATTCTGTCTTCGCCATATCCTCCATAGCATCTGTGTATCATATACATAACAAATGATTAATAAATAATTGAATTGAATAATTGAATTTGTTAAGACTGCTACCTAACTTTCTGATTTTAAAATCTCTTTTTCAGACACTTAAAGCAGAAGTTTAACTGGAAGAAATCTGAGCTGCCCCGTAGAAAATCCTTTCTCCTTTGTTTAAGCCAAAAGTAAAAGGTAAGAAAAAGGTAAAAGATGTCATTCTCAAAAAGAAAACCCCAGAATATGTAAAGAGTGGGTCTTCTTTTGCCAGCATCAACTTTAGTTCACATAATTATTTATAATTAGTTCACATAATTATTTATATGAAACTTGCGAATTAAATTATTTATTTATTTACAAAATCAGCTGTGCTAGATTTTAGAATTTAGAAATAATTCTCACCCATGAAGGATTAATAACTGTTGGACTAAATGTTCTTGTCCCAACTGGCTTTATTATTTAGTTATTTGGCTGAACCGGGTCTTAGCTGCGGCATGCAGGATCCAGTTCCCTGACCAGGGATCAAACCCGGGACCCCTGCATTGGGAGCATGGAGTCTTAACCACTGGACCACCAGGGAAGTCCCACCAACTGGCTTTAGAATTTAACTAAAAAATCAGACAGGCCTGTCTCTCAAGGAAGAGCTGCTATAAAATCAGTTGCAAAGGACACTTTCCCTATTGTCATGTTGCTAATCAGTTTGTTTTATACAAGCATCTGAATGCCATGTGTGACTCTCTAAGGTTTAATGGATCACCAAAGTAGTAAATTGTGTGTTCTATCTGACAAGGATGCAAGGTTTTAAACCTATTGTAGTAGATAGTAGAGGACACTTAGTGGACTTCAGACCCTCATTCCTATGCCTCTCTTTGCAGTAAATATTTCTGGAGATGCACAGACTTTTTCAGGTCTCTAGGACTCATTTAGGCCAGTAACTGTCATAAGTTTTACCAGGAATTCCTTCTTTTGGATTAAGGCTCAAAGATTCATTTGCTATAATCACAAAACCTTAATCTTCCCAGTTCATGCATATATGGCTGTATTAGTGTAACTTTAGTCCATTTATGAATATTCTTCGTATCATTTGAAATATGCATATAGAGAAAAAGCAGCCAGTAAAGTGACAGCTGTATATTAAAAAGAATTTTTTTTTGCTGTGGCTCCTCCTTAAATGGGAAGGAGGAATAAAATGTTTTTTATTATCAGGAGACATCTATTTTTCAATTTAGGACTTCTTTCTCTTGCTTATAGTCATTTTATTAATTACTGTGACAATATCTCTGAGATATAGGTTGGTATTGTTATCTTAATTTTATGGTTACTGCATTTAATCTATTTTATGCTTATCTCTGGTCTCTAGTTTATGGCAATGTGCATCCTGGCAAAAGAGTCTGAAACTTTCCCACATTTCTGTGATATAACCCACGCACTTTGTCCCATATTTGAGAATAGCTCCATCCTATGAACCACACCCATCTTTGTAGGTATGCTGATTTCTTCACTTCTAGGTGTGAAGTTATATCACATATTTATTACCTCTAGTAAACATTAGCATGAGGCTGTGATTGAAAGTGTCCCAAGTGAGATTTCATTTTCAGTATTCAACAATGAGGAGAGTCCTTGCATGCATGCCTTGTTCTATTAGACTTTCAGTCTTGTGCCCTCCCCCCTCCCCTATTTTCTTTCATTCTCTGACAAAGAAATTCTCACTTGTTCATAAATGAATCTGATGGTCTTAGATGCAGGAAGGAGCAGAAGAGGAAGGGTAGAAAACCTGAGAGGCCACATGGAAGAGGTTCAGAGCACCGACTCTGAAGTCAACTGGCCTGAATAGTATGGGGCTCTGCCCTTAATAGCTGGGTATTTTGAGAAAGTTACTTTACCTTGGTGTGCCTCAGTTTCTCTATCTTTAAAATGGGAATAAAGCCAGAATTTGCCTTACAGAGTTTTTCTAAGGATTAAGTAGATAAGTATTTGTAAAGCACTTAGAAGGATGCCTAGCACAGAGAGTGATATATAAATAGATAAACAACAGGTGTTCTGGGTGATTGAAATTGACAATAACTGATTACAGTTTTAGGACTTTGCGCTACCTTAAGAATTTGAATCATTTCAATATACAAATTTGTATAGAAAAATCAAAGTTTCTATATTATATATATATTTCTTTCCTTTGTTGCTACAGGCCATTAATTAGACAATGGAAAAGAGATCATAACAGTAGATGGTTACATTGGAATGGTTACTACAAGAGACAAATACTCTTCTTGGCCTGAGTTCACTAAGTTCATCTTGTAAGTAGACATGGAAATAATACTTATTACTTCCTCTAGGAGTCTCCTGGGCAATTCTACAAGATCCTTTGCCTGGAAATTTCTGTGAATGAATTGCTAACAATTTGCTAATGAGTGAGTCATAATATATATTAGTCGTTTTTACCTACACAAGGAGAATACCCTTTTCCAAAAACTCCCTCTTCCTTAAGGTGTGGCAAGGCCTGAAACATTCACACAAACATTTGAATAGCACTCTCTATCTTCCGGACATTTTACAACCATTTGAAGTAAGTTTGCAAACCAGCAAATCTCTAGGAATTTATTTTATGAATAAAAATACCATGCCTGACATTATATCAGAGAGTGTGCACTACTTATTTCATCTTCTGATTATAGCACTGTGTATTCTTTGCCCTAAAATGTCATTTGTGTGGGGAAAAAACCTATGGTTAAATTTAAATCTCCAATGAAAAAGGCATGGCAATGAAGCAAACGAAGTTAGAAATAAAATTTTTTAATAGTCAAAGGCAAAAATATTGTATTCTGATTCATAAAAAATGTATTTTAGAAGGGTAAATTTCAGTTCCTCTCTTGGCAAAGTCTGTTTTATCCCTACTGCTTCATTTTCTATAAGCATGGTCCTCAAAATACTACAAATGGTAAAGGCATCTGACTGGGTACTGTTTTTGGACTTTTAAAACAGGCATTTAAATATTTTTCTGTAATGTGACTTCGTGGAACTGTTGTAATAAAATCCTTTTCAATTATAGGCTTACACATTTATGCTCAATGAAGAGAAAGACAACTAATATCATCAAATTTATGTTTTACATTTCTTTGTAGTGCTTTGAAAGACAGAATATATGTCTTGTATAAATGTATGATATATGAATATCTTCACTAATTTAGTACAGATCTCATAAGCTGGGGCATAATATCACTTAGCCAGTCCATTAAAGATATCAGTTACACTATAACAGTAAATAATCTTGATTCTACATGCCTCAGTTTAGCCCTCAGAGATCAAAAGCTTAGTGATCCATCTGTTAAAAACATACACATTAAAGGAGATTACATGAAGGATTGGACTACTGTCACGAAGCAGGTCAGAGAAATTCCATAATGGCAGAGCATTAGACTGAACTACCAGGGTTTTCAACCCCCTGCTGCTTTTCGACCCTAGTTCATGGGCAACTAAACCAAAGTTAGGTATCTCAAGACCATCAGGTAAAGACCTAGGAACTTACTGGGAACAAGTCCAATTTCGGATAGCTGGAAAATCAACACACTCTCAGAGAAGCCCAACAGGACCTACGATTTTTGTGAAAGAATCTAGAAGTCTAATTTCCTAGTGGCAATTTAAAAAAATGCCTACATGTATCCCAAGTTTATATTTGAGGCTCAAACCTGCATTCAAACACTCAAAGTGCATAGAGGCTGCAGTGAAACCTCGTAAATTATAAGCAGATGGTATTTTATGAAAACACAACTTTTTATTTGGGTGATAGAAAATATAGGTAATACAAAATATAAATAAAGGTCCTCATAAGCCTCAGGAGGTTCGTTGCCTGCTGGAATACACTATGCAAAGGTAATTTATACATAACAGTAAGAGTGTTCAGTGTAGATTTTTGTTAAATGTTATGACATACGGGACAATTTTGATAATTTTTCTACGACAACCACAAAATTTACTGGAAAAAAAGATGGCCTGTGGATATCTAAAGTGCTCGTCTTTTCATCCAAGTAAGCAATTTAAATCTAAATCCATGAAAATGTGTGATATTATTTTAATAAATATATTGTGAAATATCAGTATATTTCTTTAATCAAAATGGTGAGAGTGGTTTTCCCCAAATTGAACACATACATTAATCACAACTGTGACGCTAACTTGCTGTTCCATTTAACTATCCATGTCACAAAACTAAATATTGTTAGAGCGTGAAAACTGTTTCAGAAGAAAATCATCTTTGTTGATGTGAGATTTAACTGCTGAAATTTCAGAACTCAAATCACTAGGTGTGTTTTATACCACCAAGCTACAGTTGCTGTCCGTGTCATCCCCTGCAGCAATGTTCTAGGCAGTCCAGATGGCTAGCACAACTATTAACAAGTACATGCAAAAAATTGTGAGATGAGGTAAACCTGAATAATTGGGACAATTGATTTATGTGTGATAAGTCACACAAGGAATTTTGTTACATTATTTCAATTAAATAATTGTATGGTGAATTTTATTTCCAGCTGTGAAAGTCATTGAATGATTGTAATTGTGAAGTTAGATTAAGGAACATAAAAACTCACAGTCTTCCAGAGATAATTTTTTTTTTTAGATCTTAGGCTGATAAATAAGCTCTAATTTTCATAGTTATACAGGTATATATTCATTGATATAAATAGAAAATGAGATTAAGCATACAGTTCTATGTAATGAGGAGTTACATATATTCAGATAGTTTGTGCCAGTTTTATTGAATACCACCTGTTAAATAAGAAATCTGAATAGATTGATATACATATAATCAGAAGTCCTAGGACATTAGGAAAAGAGAACAGGACTTAGAAAGCAGAGGGATCGAGGGCTAGGATCTGCTCACTTACTTGGAATTAAAGCTTGAGCCAATTATTTAGCCTCTTAAGCCTGAGTTTCTTTATCATGGAAATCTGGGGAGTGGGCTTCCTGACCTTTAAATTCCATCCAGCTCTACAGTTTTATCATTCTATTCACCTCCTATTTTATATTTGTATCTGCCTACATGATCTTTAAAATTACCTCCAGCTTTTATAATTCTGCTTACTTTCTGTTTCATATTTGTATCTCATTAAGAGGAGAGGATAGAGATAGGAGAAATAATGTTAGGTGAAGAGGCTGCCATAAAGAAAGATAATGCTCGGAATGCACCTAACTATGCTGGCCTGGACAGATTTCTTCCTAGATTGAAGAACTATTATGAATGATCTTTGAGTAAGAGAAGAAAACATACATGAGGCCAGGCAAGTAGTCTTTTTCTTTTTTCTCAGGGGAAAGAAGGTGGATGTCAGATACAGATGGAGACACTTGTTCAAGATCTGGGAGACCAGGATGCCTGCCTTTCCTGCCCTCAGGGCCATAAGCCAAGTGGAATCCTTTCTATAAATTCTTTCCCATCTTTAATCTGGGGCTCAGGAGGGTTTTTATTACTTGTAGCTGAAAACATTTGGCCAAAGAATTCTAGCAGCAAAGTGGATGAACAACAAGAATAGCTCTTTTACAACTAATAGACACAGGGAAATAAATTCTACCTCACTAAAGAGTAAAAACGTGCAATGGAAACAATGTGAATTCCGTCTTTTGTTCACCAGACTGGCAAAAATTTAAATGTTATATCCAGATTTTGCAGGAGAGAGGGAAATAGGTCTGTGGTTGGGTTTTTTACCACGAGCAATATGCATGGAAATTAGGCAACATTTATCAAAACATAAATCGTCCGTTCATATGAATGTAACCAAATAATATACAGTGTTGTATGACTGACTTTTTCACTTAGCACAATATTTTTAAGGTTCATTTATGATCTGGTGTATATCAGTACTTCAGTCCTTTTGGTGGCCAAATAATATTTCATTGTATGGACATACCACATTTGTTCATCCATTCATCAGTTGACAGACATTTGGGTCATGTCCATCTTTTGACTATTCTGAAAAATGCTGCTATAAACACTCATATACAAGTTTCTGTGTGAACATATATTTTCATTTTCTTGGGTATATACTTAGAAGTAAAATTGCTGGTCATATGGCATCTCTATGTTTAGTCATTTGAGGAACTGCCAGCCTGTATTTCGAAGCAGCTGTACCATTTTACATTCCCGCAAGTAGGATATGAGGGTTCTGACTTTTCCATTCCTCATCAAAACTTGTTGTTATTGGACATTTTGATTCTAGCCATCCTAGTATGTGGGAAGTAGTATCTCATTGTGGTATTGATTTGCATTTCCCTGATGACTAATGATGCCCAGCATCTTTTTGTGTGCTTATCAGATATTTGTATATATTCCTTGAAGAAATGTCTATTCAAATCCTTTGTCCATTTTTAAATGTCTTTTTATCATTGAATTGTAAGAGTTCTTTATATATTTTGAGTACAAGTCCCTTATCAGTTATCTGATTTACAAATATTTTCTACCATTCTGTTGGCTGTCTTTTCACTTTCTTGGTGATGTCCCTTGAAACACAAAAGTTTCATTTTGCTGATGTCCAATTTATCTATCTTTAACTTAGTTGCTTATACTTTTAGTGTCATATCTAAGAATTCTTGGCCAAATCCAAGGTCGTGAAGTTTTACCCCTATGTTTTCTTCTAAGAGTTTTAGCTCTTACATTTAGGTCTTTGACCCACTTTAGTTAATTTTTGTATATGACGTGAGGTAAGGATACAATTTTATCCTTTTGCATGTGGCTACCTAATTGTTTCAGCACCACTTGCCAAAAAGACCTTGCTGAACTCATCTAATGGTTCTAAGAGGGTTTTTTTGTTTATTTTTAATGGCTTTCTTAGAATTTTATATATACAGGATGATGTCATTTGCAAGCTGATATAGTTTTACTTCTTCCTTTTCAATCTGGATGACTTTTATTTGTTTTTCTTGCCTAATTGCAAGGAAAACAATTGGATAGAATTGCAATTTAATCCAATTGTCCAATTGGATAGAACCGCCAGTAAAATGTTGAATAGAAGTGATGAAAGTGAACATCCTTGTCTTTTTCCTGATCTTAGGGGAAAGCATTCTAGTCTTTCACCAGTAAATGTGATGTTAGCTAGAGGTATTTCATAGATGCCCTTTATTAGGTTGAGGAAGTTTCTATTCTTAGTTTTCTGAGAGTTTTTATCATGAATGGGTCTTGGATTTTGTCAAATGTATTTGCGCCACAAATAAAGGTGATCACGTGGTTCTTGTCCTTTATTCTAGTATTACAGTATGCTACCTTGATTGACTTTTGTATGTTAAGCTAACTTTGCATTGCTAAGATAAA